TGCACAGTAAACGGCAACACTGGTCACAGTAGGCGCACAGTAAACTGCAACACTGGTCACAGTAGGCGCACAGTAAACTGCAACACTGGTCACAGTAGGTGCACAGTAAACTGCATCACTGGTCAGAGTAGGTGCACAGTAAACGGCAACACTGGTCACAGTAGGCGCACAGTAAACTGCAACACTGGTCACAGTAGGTGCACAGTAAACTGCATCACTGGTCAGAGTAGGTCCACAGTAAACTGCATCACTGGTCAGAGTAGGTCCACAGTAAACTGCAACACTGGTCACAGTAGGTGCACAGTAAACTGCATCACTGGTCAGAGTAGGTGCACAGTAAACTGCAACACTGGTCACAGTAGGTGCACAGTAAACTGCATCACTGGTCAGAGTAGGTGCACAGTAAACTGCAACACTGGTCAGAGTAGGTGCACAGTAAACTGCAACACTGGTCACAGTAGGTGCACAGTAAACTGCAACACTGGTCACAGTAGGTGCACAGTAAACTGCAACACTGGTCACAGTAGGTGCACAGTAAACTGCAACACTGGTCACAGTAGGTGCACAGTAAACTGCAACACTGGTCACAGTAGGTGCACAGTAAACTGCAACACTGGTCACAGTAGGTCCACAGTAAACTGCAACACTGGTCACAGTAGGTGCACAGTAAACTGCAACACTGGTCACAGTAGGTGCACAGTAAACTGCAACACTGGTCACAGTAGGTCCACAGTAAACTGCAACACTGGTCACAGTAGGTGCACAGTAAACTGCAACACTGGTCACAGTAGGTCCACAGTAAACTGCAACACTGGTCACAGTAGGTCCACAGTAAACTGCAACACTGGTCACAGTAGGTGCACAGTAAACTGCATCACTGGTCACAGTAGGTCCACAGTAAACTGCATCACTGGTCACAGTAGGTCCACAGTAAACTGCATCACTGGTCAGAGTAGGTCCACAGTAAACTGCATCACTGGTCAGAGTAGGTCCACAGTAAACTGCATCACTGGTCACAGTAGGTCCACAGTAAACTGCAACACTGGTCAGAGTAGGTCCACAGTAAACTGCATCACTGGTCAGAGTAGGTCCACAGTAAACTGCATCACTGGTCAGAGTAGGTGCACAGTAAACTGCATCACTGGTCACAGTAGGTGCACAGTAAACTGCATCACTGGCCACAGTAGGTCACAGTAAACTGCATCACTGGTCACAGTAGGTCCACAGTAAACTGCATCACTGGTCACAGTAGGTCCACAGTAAACTGCATCACTGGCCACAGTAGGTCACAGTAAACTGCATCACTGGTCAGAGTAGGTCCACAGTAAACTGCATCACTGGCCACAGTAGGTCACAGTAAACTGCATCACTGGTCAGAGTAGGTGCACAGTAAACTGCATCACTGGTCTGACATTTACTGTGTCAGTGGTGGTAAAATGAAATAAAATGAAGTTGGAAAACTAACAATTTAGAGACTGTTGTCACGTTTCTTCAAAACATATAACTGAAAACTTTCAACAAATCTGAAAAAACAACTTAACCACAAAGAGAAAAAAACCCACTTAACGTCCCGAAACACAACCCGTCCTCGGACCATGTCCATTCCATCCAGCGGTCGACCCCAAACACGCATTCGTCAATTTTAACATGCTGTTCGTTCAAAATAGGAACTCTCAAATACCAATTAATAGTGTTTTATACTACCATACTGTGCATATTTCGGAATTGGTTAGGTTAGGTGTTTAGGTTCTGTTGGCGATTATTTGTGTTTGTAGTACGTGGGTGAAGCATTTACAGCGTTGTGGTTCGAACAAAAGTCGTCAGCGCAGCACTTGTTCCAGAAGTGTTCGGACGTCATCAGTTGTGAGTCGTGTGTAAACCGTTTTTCATTCATAAACAGCTGGGGTTTGGCGGGTGCATGGAATGGACTTTAGTCTTTGTATATGAGGACGGACGGCAAGACAACATTGGAAGCCTTAAAAGCACAACAATGTTTTAAGCGACTCTGTTGTGGTCGAAAACTCGCATTTTAATGCAGGGAGCATCAATAATTCAGTAATTATCAATTATAATTTATTATCATAAATTATCATCAATTATTATCACTAATTATCCCCCGACCTCTGATTACTATCGGTTCCCGACACCCACACCCACACACATACCCACCCACACACACATTCACAAGGGTCTGGTAGCTGAGTGGACAGCGCGCTGGACTCGTAATCCAGCAGACATTACGAGTCTGCTGGATTACCTGCTGAGTTAGACAGCAGCCCGTAGCAGCTGTCTAACTCCCAAGTACCTATTTACTGCTAGATAACAGGGCCATCAGGATGAAAGAAACATTTTGTCCATTTGTCTCCGCCTCCACCGGAGATCGAAACCGGAACCTCAGGATTACGAATCCGAAGCGCTCTCCACTCGGCTGTCAGGCGCCCTCAGGCGCATTATGCCGTGCTCTCTGCTCCATCACCAGCCGCCATCTATGGTGGTGACGTCGTAGTGACGTCGTTAGTGACGTCGTGGTACCCTCGTATAGTGTCCTGCCCACTAAGACAACACACCTGCCACACATCTACGTCAGCCACCATACATGTGTGCCCCCCCTCCCCCACAGGTGTCTGAGACAGTCACGCACAATAGCTGGACGCTGCTCCAAGAGAGTAATTAGAATAGTTTGCAAATGAGTTGCCACTGCGGCAAAGAAGGGAGAAAGAGGGAAGGTTTACGGAGAAGGGAATCGAGGAGAGGGATGGAAACAAAGAGGATTAGAGAGAATGAGAGAGAGAGAGACAGAGAAGGACAGAGACAGTGTGCTGAGAGGAAATGGGAAGGTGATGACGAAGAGGGAAATGTTTACGACTGATTTCCATTGTCGATATAATGACTGACACTTTTTATGTACAAACTGTATTTCTCATGTTATCCGTGTGCACAATCTATTCTAAGATACCTGTGTAACACAGAGAGAGAGAGAGAGAGAGAGAGAGAGAGAGAGAGAGAGAGAGAGAGAGAGAGAGAGAGAGAGAGAGAGAGAGAGAGAGAGAGAGAGAGAGAGTAAATAGTAAATTTACAAGTAAAAGTAAGAGACAGTAAAGACTAAATTATATATATAAGCAAATTATACACAAGAGCGAGACGCTCAAGAGCCTTGCAAAGTTGACTAATTTCTCTGAGTCAGGAGTGTGTGTCTTAAGATGCCATGGAAGACGAGCAAAACGCTCATGTAATATCCACAAACTTCGCAAAAATGTTCGACAAGCGAGATGATGGTTTCAGTGCACACAAAATGCGCACAAAAGGAATTCCTGGCAAAGTAGGAACAAGATGTATCTTTAATTTCCTAACGAACGTAATAGTCAACAAACTACAATCCGGATTATCAATCGTGAAAAAGCTCAGTCGCTCAAGGTACCGTACTTGCTCCGGTAGTTTTTCCTCATCCTGACATCAGACATAGACAAGGATAGAAGCTATAGTATCGTATAATCCTTTGCAGATGACACCAGGACTTTCACGAGAGTATACAACATAGAGGACACAGCAAACCTTCAATGTGCCGTTAATCAGGTCTTTGAATGGCCCACAGAAAACCACAAGTGTGATGATAATAAGTTTCAGCTCCTGAACTATGGGAAAAAATATAAATATCAAACAGAAGAGTTTTATCGGGGGAAAGCGCTAAGTCATTACGACTATATAGCACTTGGAAGGGGGGTCAGAATAAGGATTTTGGGATGGGACGGGGTTGTGGGAACGGAAGTGTCCAACAACTTGGACGGTCGGGGATTGAACGCCGACCTGCATGAAGCGAGACCGTCGCTCTACCGTCCAGACCAAATATCAAACAGATACCACAAATAAAACGGAATTAAACCACAGTATTGAAAGAAAAGGCAATGTTAAAATGTAGGAGTAATCATCTCGGAAGACCTTTAAAAGAACACAATAAAGTAGCCGTCAAAACTTCAAGAAAAATGACAGGTTGGATAACAGGAACCCTTTGAAACAAGAGATTTTATAGCACTGATGATACTTTGAAAAAAAATAACGTACAATAACGTGAGCTATTAGTTGAGAGGACAGGTTCTTGGCCAGAGTGAGAGGGCCTCAGTCACAGGCACAGCTTTCAGTCACAGCTTCGTGTCATCCTTTGCAGATGACACAAAAATCAGCATGAAAATTACCTCTGCTGAAGACATTGAAATCCTACAAGCAGATATTAACAAGGTTTTCGACTGGGCAGCATAAAATAACATGATGTTTAACAGTGATAAATTCCAGGTACTCAGATACGGTAAAAATGAGGACCTTAAAACATAATACAGGGTACAAAACACAATCAAATTTGCCCATAGTAGGAAAACAGCATGTCAAGGATTTGGGAATATTGATGTCTGACGACCCAACGTTCAGGAAGCAAAACCAAACAAATATTGTGTCCGCCCAAAAAATGAACGGATGGATTACGATAACTTTCAAATCCAGGGATCCCATCACAATGGTTGTACTCTTCAAGTCACTTGTGTTCCGTCCCGTCTTGAGTACTGCTCAGTACTCACTTTCCCCTTCAGAGCAGGAGAGATTGCTGAAATAGAGGGAGTACAGAGAACATATACGGCATACATAGACCCGATAAAGCACCTAAATTATTGGGATCGTCTCAAAGTCGTTCAAATGTACACACTAGAAAGGAGACGAAAGAGATATCAAATAATATACACGTGGAAGATACTGGAGGGCCAGGCCCCAAATCTACACAGTAAAATAACAACATACTGGAGTGAACGACATGGAAGAAAATGCAAGATTGAACCAGTGAAAAGCAGAGGTGCCAAAGGCACAATCAGAGAACACTGTATAAACATCAGAGGTCCACGGTTGTTCAACATCCTCCCAGCGAGTGTAAGAAATATTGCCGGAACAACCGTGGACATCTTCAAGAGGAAACTAGATTGTTTTCTTGAAGGAGTGCCGGACCAACCAGAAAATTCCATTCATGCGGGCAGTGTGTCCGAAGCTGGGGTCGCCAGCTGGGGAGAACGTTGGGGTCGCCAGCTGGGGGAGAACGTTGGGGTCGCCAGCTGGGGGAGAACGTTGGGGTCGCCAGCTGGGGGAAGAACGTTGGGGTCGCCAGCTGGGGGAAGAACGTTGGGGTCGCCAGCTGGGGGAGAACGTTGGGGTCGCCAGCTGGGGGAGAACGTTGGGGTCGCCAGCTGGGGAAGAACGTTGGGGTCGCCAGCTGGGGAAGAACGTTGGGGTCGCCAGCTGGGGGAGAACGTTGGGGTCGCCAGCTGGGGGAAGAACGTTGGGGTCGCCAGCTGGGGAAGAACGTTGGGGTCGCCAGCTGGGAGAAGAACGTTGGGGTCGCCAGCTGGGGGAAGAACGTTGGGGTCGCCAGCTGGGAGAAGAACGTTGGGGTCGCCAGCTGGGGAAGAACGTTGGGGTCGCCAGCTGGGGGAGAACGTTGGGGTCGCCAGCTGGGGAAGAACGTTGGGGGCGCCAGCTGGGGGAGAACGTTTGGGTCGCCAGCTGGGGAAGAACGTTGGGGTCGCCAGCTGGGGAAGAACGTTGGGGTCGCCAGCTGGGGAAGAACGTTGGGGTCGCCAGCTGGGGAAGAACGTTGGGGTCGCCAGCTGGGGAAGAACGTTTGGGTTCGCCAGCTGGGGGAGAACGTTGGGCTCGCCAGCTGGGGAAGAACGTTGGGGTCGCCAGCTGGGGAAGAACGTTGGGGTCACCAGCTGGGGAAGAACGTTGGGGGCGCCAGCTGGGGGAAAGAACGTTGGGGTCGCCAGCTGGGGAAGAACGTTGGGGTCGCCAGCTGGGGGAAGAACGTTGGGGGCGCCAGCTGGGGAAGAACGTTGGGGTCGCCAGCTGGGGAAGAACGTTGGGGTCGCCAGCTGGGGGAAGAACGTTGGGGTCGCCAGCTGGGGGAGAACGTTGGGGTCGCCAGCTGGGGAAGAACGTTGGGGTCGCCAGCTGGGGAAGAACGTTGGGGTCGCCAGCTGGGGAAGAACGTTGGGGTCGCCAGCTGGGGAAGAACGTTTGGGTTCGCCAGCTGGGGGAGAACGTTGGGCTCGCCAGCTGGGGAAGAACGTTGGGGTCGCCAGCTGGGGAAGAACGTTGGGGTCACCAGCTGGGGAAGAACGTTGGGGTCGCCAGCTGGGGGAAGAACGTTGGGGTCGCCAGCTGGGGGAAGAACGTTGGGGTCGCCAGCTGGGGGAAGAACGTTGGGGGCGCCAGCTGGGGAAGAACGTTGGGGTCGCCAGCTGGGGAAGAACGTTGGGGTCGCCAGCTGGGGGAAGAACGTTGGGGTCGCCAGCTGGGGGGAGAACGTTGGGGTCGCCAGCTGGGGAAGAACGTTGGGGTCGCCAGCTGGGGAAGAACGTTGGGGTCGCCAGCCGGGGAAGAACGTTGGGGTCGCCAGCCGGGGAAGAACGTTGGGGTCGCCAGCTGGGGAAGAACGTTGGGGTTGCCAGCTGGGGAAGAACGTTGGGGTTGCCAGCTGGGGAAGAACGTTGGGGTTGCCAGCTGGGGAAGAACGTTGGGGTCGCCAGCTGGGGAAGAACGTTGGGGGCGCCAGCTGGGGGGGGAGAACGTTGGGGGCGCCAGCTGGGGAAGAACGTTGGGGTCGCCAGCTGGGGAAGAACGTTGGGGGCGCCAGCTGGGGAAGAACGTTGGGGTCGCCAGCTGGGGGAGAACGTTGGGGTCGCCAGCTGGGGGGAGAACGTTGGGGTCGCCAGCTGGGGGAGAACGTTGGGGTCGCCAGCTGGGGAAGAACGTTGGGGTCGCCAGCTGGGGGAAGAACGTTGGGGTCGCCAGCTGGGGGAGAACGTTGGGGTCGCCAGCTGGGGGAGAACGTTGGGGGCGCCAGCTGGGGGAGAACGTTGGGGGCGCCAGCTGGGGAAGAACGTTGGGGTCGCTAGCTGGGGAAGAACGTTGGGGTCGCCAGCTGGGGAAGAACGTTGGGGTCGCTAGCTGGGGAAGAACGCCTCCAGGTATACCTTCCGTTAAATAACAACATTGTTCTCATAATTATACAATCGGGGAAATTATTAATCAATAAATTAACCAATTTGGGCCACACACACAATGGCCCTCCGTCCAGACCCACAGGGGGGAACACCTAAGGGGGGGGGGGTAAAGTGCTCCAACACACGATAACAGCCTTCGTATTGGAGTATACCTGGAGTATACCTGGAGTATACATGGAGTATACCTGGAGCATACCTGGAGTATTCCTGGAGTATACCTGGAGCATACCTGGAGAACCGGGCTGTGGAGGATATGAGCCTGCGGGCCGGTCCAAGCAACAGCCTGGTGGACCAAACTCTCACAAGACATGCCTGGCCTCGGGCCGGGCTTGGGGAGTAGAACAACTCCCACAACCCCATCAAGCAGGTATCAAGCAGCCTCAAAGACGCCAGCCCCCCTGCCTGTAGTGAGCCAGTCTTGCTTGATTGCTTGATCCATTAACACTGATTTATAGAGATTCCAAGCTGTGTAGTGTTTCTTGTTTGTGTTGCGAACATAATGAATTGCTCGCATTAGTTCGTTTCACAAATTTTAAAGTAATTATGTTGGCATGGTCTGGTGTTGGGTGTGGTCTGGTGTTGGGTGTGGTCTGGTGTTGGGTGTGGTCTGGTGTTGGGTGTGGTCTGGTGTTGGGTGTGGTCTGATGGTTTAGTGTTGGGTGTGGTCTGGTGTTGGGTGTGGTCTGATGGTTTAGTGTTGGGTGTGGTCTGGTGTTGGGTGTGGTCTGGTGGTTTAGTGTTGGGTGTGGTCTGGTGGTTTAGTGTTGGGTGTGGTCTGGTGTTGGGTGTGGTCTGGTGGTTTAGTGTTGGGTGTGGTCTGGTGTTGGGTGTGGTCTGGTGGTTTAGTGTTGGGTGTGGTCTGGTGTTGGGTGTGGTCTGGTGGTTTAGTGTTGGGTGTGGTCTGGTGGTTTAGTGTTGGGTGTGGTCTGGTGGTTTAGTGTGGGTGTGGTCTGGTGTTGGGTGTGGTCTGGTGGTTAGTGTTGGGTGTGGTCTGGTGTTGGGTGTGGTCTGGTGGTTTAGTGTTGGGTGTGGTCTGGTGTTGGGTGTGGTCTGGTGGTTTAGTGTTGGGTGTGGTCTGGTGGTTTAGTGTTGGGTGTGGTCTGGTGTTGGGTGTGGTCTGGTGGTTTAGTGTTGGGTGTGGTCTGGTGTTGGGTGTGGTCTGGTGTTGGGTGTGGGTCTGGTGTTGGGTGTGGTCTGGTGGTTTAGTGTGTGGGTGTGGTTGGTGTTGGGTGTGGTCTGGTGGTTTAGTGTTGGGTGTGGTCTGGTGTTGGGTGTGGTCTGGTGGTTTAGTGTTGGGTGTGGTTCTGATGGTTTAGTGTTGGGTGTGGTCTGGTGTTGGGTGTGGGTCTGATGGTTTAGTGTTGGGTGTGGTCTGGTGTTGGGTGTGGTCTGGTGGTTTAGTGTTGGGTGTGGTCTGGTGTTGGGTGTGGTCTGGTGTTGGGTGTGGTCTGGTGTTGGGTGTGGTCTGGTGGTTTAGTGTTGGGTGTGGTCTGGTGTTGGGTGTGGTCTGGTGGTTTAGTGTTGGGTGTGGTCTGGTGTTGGGTGTGGTCTGATGGTTTAGTGTTGGGTGTGGTCTGGTGTTGGGTGTGGTCTGGTGTTGGGTGTGGTCTGGTGTTGGGTGTGGTCTGGTGTTGGGTGTGGTCTGGTGTTGGGTGTGGGTCTGGTGGTTTAGTGTTGGGTGTGGTGGTCTGGTGTTGGGTGTGGTCTGATGGTTTAGTGTTGGGTGTGGTCTGGTGTTGGGTGTGGTCTGGTGTTGGGTGTGGTCTGGTGGTTTAGTGTTGGGTGTGGTCTGGTGTTGGGTGTGGTACTGGTGGTTTAGTGTTGGCATGGTCTGGTGTTGGGTGTGGTCTGGTGGTTTAGTGTTGGCATGGTCTGGTGTTGGGTGTGGTCTGATGGTTTAGTGTTGGCATGGTCTGGTGTTGGGTGTGGTCTGATGGTTTAGTGTTGGGTGTGGTCTGGTGTTGGGTGTGGTCTGGTGTTGGGTGTGGTCTGGTGTTGGGTGTGGTCTGGTGTTGGGTGTGGTCTGGTGTTGGGTGTGGTCTGGTGGTCTAGTATTGGGTGTGGTCTGGTGTTGGGTGTGGTCTGGTGTTGGGTTATGGTCTGGTGTTGGGTGTGGTGGTGGTGTTGGGTGTGGTCTGGTGTTGGGTGTGGTCTGGTGTTGGGTGTGGTCTGGTGTTGGGTGTGGTCTGGTGTTGGGTGTGGTCTGGTGGTCTAGTATTGGGTGTGGTCTAGTGTTGGGTGTGGATGGGTGAATGTGTAGTAACATGTAGCCGTGGTCACAAGCAGGCGTGGCCACCACCACCGCAACACAACTGATAGTGTAAGTGTTACCAAACATTAGATACGTAAACAAACACATATGGAATCAGAGAAGGGATATCTTGCCTAACAAACTTTCTGGAGTTACATGATAAAGTAACAAGAATAAGGCAAGGCAGGGAAGGATGGGCAGACTGCATATTTCTGGACTTGAGGTTATCTTGAGATGATTTCGGGGCTTTTTAGTGTCCCCGCGGCCCGGTCCTCGACCAGGCCTCCACCCCCAGGAAGCCTGGAAGACTACCAAAAAGCCTTTGACACAGCACCACACAGAACTCTGCTATTCAAACTTGAGAGGCAGGCGGGAGTAGCGGAAAAACGCTAGCTTGGGTAAAGAATTACTTGACAGGCAGGAGCCGGAGAGTAACAGTCAAGGGCGGACAAGCCGGAGTGGCGAACAGTAACGAGTGGAGTACCTCAAGGATCGGTGCTGGGACCAATTCTATTTCTAATATACGTGAACATGTCAACAGGTGTCGCGTCCTATATGTCGATGTTCACGGATGACGCGAAACTAATGAGACGAGTTGTGACAGATGAGGATTGTAGCATACTCCAAGAACAAGCTGCAGAGATGGTCAGAGAAATGGCTACTGGAGTTCAACACGATCAAGTGTAAAATTATGGAAATAGGACTAGGTGACAGGAGACCACTGGGACCGTACACAATGAAGGGAATCTGTGAAGGGAAACAATGAAGGGAATCTGTGACGATTCGAGAAAGAGACCTGGAAGTGGACCTAACACCAAATATAACTCCTGAGGCACATATAAATCGGATAACGACAGCAGCGTACTCTACACTGGCAAAAGTTAGAACGTCATTCAGAAACCTAAGTAAGGAGGCATTCAGAGCGCTTTACACTGCCTACGTGAGACCAGTCTTAGAGTATGCAGCCCCATTTGGAGCCTGCACCTAAAGAAACACATTAGGAAACTGGAAAAGACTAAACAATTTGCGACGAGGCTCGTCCCGAAGATGCATGGGCTGGGATATGAAGCGCGACTGATGGAACTGAACTTGACGTTAGAAAAAAGGAGGGGGCGTGGAGATATGATGGCAGCATACAAAATACTTAGGGGGATTGACAAGAGTGGAAATAGACGAAATGTTCACACGGAAAACCATCAGAACAAGAGGACATGGGTGGATGCTGGAAACTCATAGAGATGGAATCATAGAGATGCATACAAACTTTGCATAGAGATGCAAAGTTTCTATGCATAGTGGATGCATAGAAACTCGTACAGACTGGAATCATAGAGATGTTAGGCAGTTTTCTTTTAGCGTGAGGGTAGTGGGGAATTAAACTAAAGCAGCACATTGTGGAAGCAAACACTATTCATCACTTTAGAACTAGATATGATAGGTAAGTGGGACAGGAGTCATTACTTTAAACAACTGAAGGCTAGAAAGGCGGGATCCACGAGCCAACGCTCAATTCTGCAGGCACAAATAGGTTAGTACACACACACACACACACACACACACACACACACACACACACACACACACACACACACACACACACACACACACACGCGCGCGCGCACGCACGCACGCACGCACAATCGGAAAATCCAGGCGGGTGGGACCCCACACGGATGAGAGCGTGAAGCTGGGAGAGTCGTAACACAGTTGAGGACCTGGGGGGCGGGCGGGGGTCAAGACCCCCTCACATAAACCCCACCGGTGATGACTGCACCCTGGGGATTTATGGCCCCAGGGAATGGGAGGGGGTCATGAGGAATGGAGGAGGAAGAGAGGTTATGAGTCTACAGGAATGGGTAGTGGGAAGAATGGAATAAAAGGGGAATTTCAGAAAAAGAGAACCAAAGGTGACCATATAGACATACATTCAAACATACATACATACTTTCATACATACATATATACATACAGACATACATACAGACATACTATGATTCAACTAGCGAAGGCAAAACTAGTGCCAGAACACTGAGCAGAACAAATCAATTTTCTCGCATGAACCAATTGGCCAGACATAGCCGCTGCCTTTATAAGACATGAAATGAATCCATAGAAGCAACGAGAGAAAGGGAAGACATAACGAACACGGGAGGAAGGGGAAATGGGAATTAAACAAGAAAACGAGCAGAATAGCAACGAACAAGACTCAAAGCAAAGGAATTACGGAACAGAGAGAAGATGAAGAAATAACAAAAGGAGATCCATACAAAATAAACCAAGGAGAGAGAGACAAATACCATACATGAAACACGCCTTTTCATATTAAAATATAATAAATTAATGAGTGTTGAATGAAAGATGAATCTCGTTTTCCTTTTGTCATCTACCTTTGTCATCTACATCTACCAGAGAAATAGCGAGGCATGGCGTCTACATCCACACAAACACCACAATTATATCAATTATATCTTGAGGTTATCTTGAGATGATTTCGGGGTTTAGCGTCACCGCGGCCCGGTCCTCGACCAGGCCTCTTTTGGTTACACACCCCCAGGAAGCAGCTCGTAGCAGCTGTCTAACTCCCTGGTACTTATTTACTGCTAGGTAACAGGGGCATCAGGGTAAAAATACTGACCATTTCTTTCCGCCTCCGCCGGGGATCGAACCCGGAACCTCAGGACTACGAATCCGAAGCGATGTCCACTCAGCTGTGCGGAAACAAATGCGCAGTTTTTCACCCTGATGTCCCTGTTACCTGGCAGTAAATAGGTACCTGGGAGTTAAACAGCTGTTACGAGCTGCTTCCTGGGGGTGTGTAACTGATGTACTACACCAGTGCACTACACCAGTGCACTACACCAGTGCACTACACCAGTACACTACACCAGTGCACTACACCAGTGCACTACACCAGTGCACTACACCAGTGCACTACACCAGTGCACTACACCAGTACACTACACCAGTACACTACACCAGTGCACTACACCAGTGCACTACACCAGTGCACTACACCAGTGCACTACACCAGTGCACTACACCAGTGCACTACACCAGTGCACTACACCAGTGCACTACACCAGTGCACTACACCAGTGCACTACACCAGTGCACTACACCAGTGCACTACACCAGTGCACTACACCAGTGCACTACACCAGTGCACTACACCAGTGCACTACACCAGTGCACTACACCAGTGCACTACACCAGTGTACTACACCAGTACACTGGTGTAGTGCACTACACCAGTGCACTACACCAGTGCACTACACCAGTGCACTACACCAGTGCACTACACCAGTGCACTACACCAGTGCACTACACCAGTACACTACACCAGTGCACTACACCAGTACACTACACCAGTGCACTACACCAGTGCACTACACCAGTGCACTACACCAGTGCGTCACCCAAGCATATCCCACCTGTCCACCAGCGCACCACAGAAGAGAAACTCCTCCACCACACTAACCTTACCTTAGAAAATATTCAATAGTAAACCAGACGACGACGAAGGACTCGATGTAGAAGAGGACCTCGGTGGCCTGGTGCTCGTAGTCCTCGACGGTGGACAGCACGCTCAGGGTCAGACAGATGAAGATCGTGCAGAAC